CCCAATAAATGATATCTAAGGAAAATATGGTTATCTTGGTCAATGGGAACCAAAATTCTATTCACCAACTTTCCCACCTAGGAAACGGATATCACTTACCCAGATAAATGATATCCAAGGAAAATAAATTTTTCATGGACCTCGCATAAATCTTAAAAAAAAAAAATAACGAGTATCTTGGTCAATGGGAGCCAAAATTCTATTCATCAACTTTACCCCTCTCAAAATCCAGAAAAAAGAAGGCCCCTAATAACACTTCAAATTTAATGTTTCAAGCATGAATAATTTCGGAAAAATACGGATAGGCCCATTACAGATTTTTTATTTCCACTACAAACTTATAAACATTCAAAATGTCAAATATCCCCATTCTATACACCAATGCCCCCCCTGTAAATTGGCCTCAATTCCGGAGACTTACCCCAACTATAATGAGACTGATTTATTTTATGTAATGTGACAAGACAATTTCTCAAAAAATTATATCCACGAACCTCAAATGAGATATAAATGACAACAGTACCAACACAACTTTTATTAGAAGCATATCAGGACGATTCCAATGGAATGGCATTTGAGGAATTTGGGATTTGTACCTAATTCATCCAACCTTTGTTTTTGGAAATTACATAGTTCACATGTAAAGGAATCAGGGAAGAAGACAAAACTTTAGCTGTTTGGGAGCTTTCCCTGCACACCACACATGTTACTCCTACCCCACTCAGTCATATGCTTGTCATTTTGGTTAAAAATACGAAAAAGTAGGCTTAATGTAGATTTATAATTTTCACTGCAGATTTATAAATATTTAAAATGTTAAAAATCCATATTTTATATATCAATGCCCTGTGAATTGGTATCAATTCCAAACTAGTACCTATTCCAACTGTACTTTAAGTCTAAAAATTTTAACCCTGAGCCTAAACCGTTATTCTCCCTAAAAAATATTAAGAACAATTACTCTTTTAATCCCCATCTTTAGTGAACAATAACTCTTTTAACCCCACATCTTTGTTAACATATTATAAAAAAGCTTTTCGAACTGTCAAAATCTCTAACTACCTATGTTTTCAAATGATTTAGTTTCACTTTTACCTTTCTCTCTCTCTCAAAACAAGGGGCGAAGGGGAAAGGCGTGTGTTGACCCCAATTCAATCAAGTAGCTTCAAAGCTGCCAGCGTACAAAACCATCCCCCTTCCAGACTTCTCAGTCCATTCTCCAATCATTCATGTTTCCATTCCAAGCAAACAAAATCCACTCTCTATAGAGTCTTGGTCCATGCCTCCATCCCTTGTAGGGCCCTCCTCTTTGTGTTTTTCCCTTTTACTCTATCATTCTATAATCTTAATTCCTATTTTTGTCCTTTTGCCGAGGTTCGTTACTATAAAGTAGAAAACCAACCTCCTACCTGATCCTGTACGTCAAAGGCCTATTATTTATTGGACGCCACACAAGACACAACAACCATTTCTCCCGACTTCATTGTTACTTACTTCCCTCATCCATTCCCACTAATCGTCCAAAACCGACTTTACCACAATCTAAATTTCCATTTTATATATCAATACCTATTCATAAATTAGCATTAATTCTGAGCTGGCACCTATCTCAATTGAATGTTAGGCCTAAAAATTCTGATCCTATGTTGAATTATCATTCTCCCTAAAAAATATTTTTTGATTTTTTTAGATATCATTAAGTATCACTTAAGTTGAATATTAATAAAAACACTTGAATATTGAGAAAAATATTAAAAATAAATTTCTCTTCAAGGTTAAAAAATCGTTATATATCGATCGATACGTATCATATCGGAAGTATCCCGATATGCCCCTACAGAGAATGTATCGAGGTTTTAACCGATTCAAAGGATAGAGAACCTTAAACCAGCCCCCTAAGCAAAAAAATAATAATAATAATAATAAGTACTACTACTACCTAATACGCCCTTACTGTCGTATCAGAGGTGTTGATATTTAGAACCTTACTTCTCCCCCACATGTGTACTAGCTTTTAAATTTCACATATATTTTGGCTTCCTTGATCCTTACCTATGTTTAAATTCTCCTTTTAAGAAAAAAAATACTAACACCACCCCTAAATCGGAAACAAACACCATCCAAATCTTTTCGGGTGAGAGTGGGACTCACTTGGTCGGTCCCAACACGTTCAGCCGCACCATGTGAGAACCCACAACGAGTAGAACTACAGTTGACTGGTAGGAAAGAACCAAGACCCTTACTCCTCGAGTCACCTATCACTCGCACCCACCGCCGTTGCTACTCACACAAACCCAGTAGCTTGCACTGCCGACAGCTTCGATTAAAATATCGAAGTCTCAACCACTTTTTCGCCTGCAATTCTAAGCACGAATCACGTGTGTCGCATTTTCTCTTTAACCTTTTACTGGTGCCGCTCTGTAACTGTAAAGTCAGGTAAGTTTGTTAGTGTGCAACGTTTGTATGGGTCCCGCATCAGACCAAAAATCGCTGCAATCGAATTAACCGACCCGATAAGTCGATTACCCGAACCGAATCACCGTTTTTGTGGGCCTGTGGCTATTAATCTGCTCTCTGCACGAGACATCATCCTATTCCAGGTTTTATGCCTAACTACCGCTCTTCGGTTTCCCTTTACCCAAAGGGATTCGAGGACACACACACACTGGATTCGAACGTGACACCTCACACCTCCGGTGGCGATTATGTAGGATCGCGTGGCCCCCGCATGATCGTACGGTCGTTTTGTTTCTTTAACCTTATTCTATCATGTAACCAGATCACTTTATTAGTTTAATACAAGCCGGAGATCACCTTTTTAACTCGTTTAGTAATATTTTATTATTCTTGAAAAAAAAAATGAAAATCTTCTTATAAAGACAAGACAAGTGGAGACGACCAAGCTACGTATTTGCCGGCTGCCGCTGCCGGCCACCATCTCAATTATATTGTATTGCTTTTCGGCTTGGAGCAAAGTCCAGGGCCCACTCTAGCCCATGTGTTATGGTTATGGGCCTCATTCAACCCAAATCCAGTTAATCAACCATTACATCTGGGCCGGGGGTTTTTACCCTCCTAGAGGGTGGATAAGTAAATTATTCATGTTAAAATAATGCTTCCTCTATAGTGCCTTTATCGCATGGTTTTCAAAATTGGACCGGATCAGACGGTCGGACCGAAAAAACCAGGAAACAGTTAGGTAATCGGTTTCGGTTAATTCCCAAAACCAGATTTTTTTCATAAACCGTTGATTTTGGTCAGCAAACCGCTGACCTGAGCGATTAACCAGTCAAACCGTTTGAATGATTTTGATCGTTTTTTATTTTTTAAATTTTTGTTTATTTTTTTATCAGAATGAACCGACCATTTGATTCAAATGGTCAAACCATTTGACCCAGTAATCGGACCCTGACCAGTTCGATCTCCAAATTGGTTTTAAAAACCATGCACAAAAATGCTGGAACTGAACTTACTTGGTCTAGTTTTATTTGAAAAATATTAGCCCAAGTAAACTCATGTACCAAAAATAAAAAGAAAACGAATGGGATCTTGAAGAAAATGTCTATGTATCCTCTTACTTGAACAAGAAAGAGAGACAAAGAAACATTTGGGTCGGGACTTTTCTTAGACATGGTTCCCACTTCCACTAACATATTTTCTTTCTTTAAGAAATTATTCTAGAATGTTCTAATTATTTTGTCAAAACATCACAAATGACCAGTTATCAGCCATATTTTGGTATATTGGGTTCAGTAATTCGGTTCGAATTTGGGTTGGGTGGATGGACCCGGGTTATGATTCATGTTGCCGGTTTACCGACTCCAGCTTGGCACCCCTGGTATCTACCAGGACCATTCCTGGCCTTACTAGGAAAGGATTCTGGGTGACTCTGTAATTAGAACAACTTCTGGGGTTATATTGAGTGCAAGTGGGGAAGGCTTACATCACGAGTGGGACATAAAAGGCACATGCCATTTAATCTTCAACTTAACGCAACAAAGTGGACTCCGCATCGGGTCGCATTCCATCGGGTATCGAAGATTCCTGATGCCGTAACCTAATTTACTAAGCCGCCCTCGCCGATGTGATAGAATTACGTCGAAAACAAAGCAAAATTCGATTAATTTTTTCTTTTTTTAACAAGTCGGAATTTGGAGAATAAAGCGTGGAATATTCAACCAAGTCTGTCGCATTTGCAACGTCATCTTCCACGTGGCCAACAACAAATCGGTTACTTGAAAACTTCCTTTAAACCAGTCGTCGGTTTGGGTCAACCAAGGAATTTTCTTCTTTTTTTACCAAATTAATCAATTTGTCTAGCTAAAATAAATTAGCTTTTAGCCATCTGATCGATGGAATTTCTGTAGATTAATTAATTCTGAAATTCAAACTCCAACTATGAGAGACAAGTTTAGTGTAATTTCCAAGTAATGAGATACAGAGCAGACTTTTGTCCCGTTAAAAATTATTAAACCTAGAATATCTTTTCTTCCCACGTTTCATTTGACACGTGGCAACTATTCTAATAGGACGTGGATCTGAATAATATAACCGGAAGAGCTTTCTTTACTTCTTAGATGACTAGGAAAGAGGTTTCTTAGATGGTTCATGGAGACCCTACCCAATTAGCCACGTGGAAGGATGGCATCAGTAATTTTTCGCAATTAGATAGACATGAGTGGTTACACGTGGCAAATTATTTTTTATGGCTTAATAATAGTCAGGGCGTGTGATACGCAATCATTCGCCTCGCCACACCTTGAAGACACGTAACAGCAGCAGCTTCCAACGCATTCCTGCGTGTAAGAGTAAAATTGGAAAAATGAGACAAAAACGTGTTATAGGACTGGTGTAATATAAAAGTAAAACGAGGGGTAGTTTCGTAATGACGACATTATATATATAAAAGAAGCATCGATCTCCACCGATCATCTACTGATCTTCTGTTGTTTTTTTCTCTTCGAAGGACATCTTTCTCCATTTTCTCTCGGCCGCCATTAATGGATGCCGAAGAAGTGCTGAGCCTCTTCGATTCTTACTGGTTTGATCATCAAATATTGACCAAGAAACCGCCTTCGTCACCTCCTGTAATAGACCCAGTTCCTGAAATCCAGAAAGAAGCTCCAGAGCTGGAAATTTCTCACCCCCCGACGCTCCATGTTCGATATTCAAGCGACCAGCTGAGCTCCAAAGCAAGCTTCAAATCCGAGACTCTCTCTCCAAATTCGGTCCTTCCCACGCCGAAGCTGGAAACAATTCTCTCAGGCAAAGACGCCACAGAAGTTGCAGAAGAAATTACGAGGCACGAAGAGGCTGAGAAGCCCACAAAGAAGGCGACGGGTAGGAGAAGAAAAAGAGGCAGCAGCAAGAGCTTATCAGAGCTGGAATTTGAAGAGCTTAAAGGGTTCATGGATCTGGGTTTTATTTTCTCTGAAGCAGATAAAGATTCGAGCTTGGTCTCTATCATTCCTGGGTTGCAAAGGATGGGAAAGAAAGGTAGTGACGAAGAACAAACAATTGACGAATCTACAATCCCAAGACCTTACTTATCTGAAGCTTGGGCTGTTCTAGACCGAAGAAAGGAACGAAACCCATTAACTAATTGGAGAATTCCTTCTGCGCGTAACGAAATCGACATGAAAGATCATCTCAGGTTCTGGGCTCATACAGTTGCATCCACTGTTAGATGATGAAAAGATCTGGCTTAGAATCCTTCTCCCCGCCCCCTTTCTCCTAGTTTAATTCTTTCTTTGATTTTCGTGGGATAGCTTAATTTGCTTCTTCCTTTTCGTATATGGCTTCTGTAAATGTAAATAAAAAGAGAAATTTTATCAGGTTTTGATGATTTGATCTGGTCTAGATCTCGTTCTCCTCATCAAACATAAACAGTTACAAGCTGAACTGTCTCAGAAAATGTCAACTGTCAATGGGTTTTGTTGACTGCTAACCATTTCCCATTTCCGATTGGTCCCATTCTACGAGGCCAAGTAAAATGGCCAATGGAGATTTTAGGCAATATAGGGTGCTGCTTTTGGAAATTGGGTGAGTTTGATAACCGACACTTCGGCTGTGCTTCACAAAGCTTTTGGCTTTTATTGAGCCCTGTGGATTAATAAACTATTACTGTCAAAAGTAATTCTGACTCTGAGTAGCCAACTGGATACTAATTTTTCTCAGTTAAAAGAATCAAATCAAACAAATGAAAAGAAACAAAGATAAGAACTTTAAGACATGATTAAAGTAAAAGGACTTCTGTAAACAAAGTCATTTGATAAGAGCTCTCAAATGTCTCATCTGCTTGATACTGGGGATTGATATGGGGTGGGATCCACACGGGGTGGGTCTGGATGTGTAATCAAAGTTGAAAACAATGGAGCTTTATGGGGTTAATCAGGAACAGTTGATATGCTTAAATGATGATGCAGTTACACAGAATTATTACCTCCTATGAGATCTCCCTTTTTCACCCATAATTCATGGTAAAAAGTTCATCTGCAACTGCAAGTGATACTTGTAGCAGAACTCTTTTTTCTAATGAGAAGGTATTTGAAATCGTGGTTTAATTCTGTTCATTAATTGAGTCAAAGATTGCTGCAAAAACCACTTGTGAGTTTCTGAAACAATGGGAAACAAGTTTCTGAATTCTGAAGTAGGCTGTTTTTTTGTTCCATCTGCTTAATGGCCCTGGCATTTCGTACCCACCCATTTTCATGGTGCAAGCAAACATTTCAGGGGCATAAAAAATAGAAACAAAATGCAGTATTTCAGTCATCGACAAGGCAATTAAGTGGCAAACGTCATACCCAATTAAGGGTGTCATCTCAAAAGTTGACATCTCTGTGAATGATGAGCTCTTTCCAGGCCTGTCTAGCACAAATTTTCTACTTCTACTCACAGAAAAAGAAATCTAAAGCAATTAGAACCCAGAAGATGGTGTAACTTAATGCAGTTGACTGTTAAGAGGTTCCTCAATCCTCAATTATAATTGGAGCCTAATTGTCTCAACTGGGGTCACTTCACTTGGGAAAGTGGTCCAATCAAAGCATTTGAAAGCTGAAGCCAGTCATTTTTAATTGTTATATTATATATATTTGGGAGTTCAAATTCAAGGAGGGTGGCCCATTATAAAGTCTCACAGACAAGCTCCTCGTAAAAAGGCTTACAGTTGGAACCCATTCCACAGTCCTCTAACAAACACTGAAACATTGAACTGAAACCCAAATATAATTAAACTGACAACTCACACCAAGTTACCAACTTGACCAGTGGGACTAAGTACAGAATCCGAATACTGGTTGAGTGGTGGGCTAGCTGTTAATGAAGTTGAGCACTTTTCATCAAATTCCAAAAAAAAAAATTAAGTCCTCTAATTAAAAGCATTCTTTCAGCTCAGGGTATGCTTCTGCAATGCTGTTTATGAATCTGATTCCATCCCTTCAATTTTAGTTGTTTTGTTTCTTTTATTCAGTGTTAATTATCAGACTCGGATCAGTCAGACTATTCGAACCACAACAAACCACAGCCCAAATGGTTCATGAGATGCCTGATTTTATTTTTCATATCTTTTACATGCACGAATCTGACAGTCGGAACCAGACGATCAGACTTTTTGACTCGTGACCCAGTGGCCAAAAACGAGTCATTCTTTCCTAGTTGCAAATTGAAACAAGTGTGAGGGAGTACCTTACTGGCTACTGCCCTTACGAAATTACCACATCACCTACATCAATCTGAGCTGTTACCATCTACTACCTGCGTTAGTGCATTGATTCATACAGACTGATCCAGTCTGATCACCGATCACAAGACAATTGCAGAAGGAGAGAATGACTCGGAAAGCGAAAACCAGAAGGGAAAAAATGCCCTTCTTTGTCAGTGGTGCATGTGCATTCACTACCCAACATTGATAAGAGCGCCCCTCCTGAAAACCAAACGAGTTTCTTTCAAATCCCCATCCATGATTCATTCACAGAAGCTTTAAATGAGACAGTTGCATGTAAATTCATAACTTTGAATCAAAGATCTCAACTCTCAAACGGTCATAAAGCAAAGCAGCCCATGATACCTTTTCTCCAGGAGAGAAGCAAAAAAAATTGTAAAAGGCGAATGATTATTAATAAAAGCCACCGCATCTGTACCCAACTCAGAAAGAGCTAGGTTTTGCATTCCAACTCCAAGCTTGCAGCCGCTGTGCCATCAAGCTGCTTTTGCAGCAAAGCCAGCAACTTGGCAATGAGTCCCTCCCTTCTGGGGTCTCACTCCATGGGTCCATCTTTCTTCCGAAGTTGAGTGCAAATAACTCCTCCATGTTTCAGGTTTTAGCTGGATTAGTTAGTGAGTGACAACTGACAACTCTGCTATAACTAGTTGCTGGTTGAAACTTATATATTAATGGTTTTCTTTTCTGCTCATTCATTTGTCTTCCATGACAAGAAGATCGACTCCCCAAAACCAAATTTGTCTTTGTTACTGAATACTGCTCTTTTGCAGGGTTCCTTGAGAGAAGAAAAAAAAAATAGTTCTGTTACTAAATTAATTGCAATCAGCTCTCATGCCACCATCAATGGAAATTGACAACAAGTGTGGGTGGGCTTTCAGTGTCGATTGAGTTATTAGACCTACCAGAAAGATTGGCATTACTTAGTCATGCTCGGCCAGTCCAGACTCAGAGAGTCCACCTTATGTAGGTTCCAGGAATTTGACGGTAGCCTAATGCCGTAAGAACCTGTTTGGACCTACCTGAACTTGCCTATAAAATATCAATATCTAAAAGAGAACAGAGGCATTGAAACTCTCTCTCTCTCTCGTGACCCTTCTTTCTTTAATCTTTTAATTCCCTTTCTAACAAGTCGAATCCTCCGTTCTTCTTCTTATGGATAAGTATGCCTTTGGATGAGCTCAGAAGAATCACTGTGGCTGAACAAATTCAGTCCAAATCCAATCACGAGTTGCAGGCATCCTTATCACACATCCAACTCACTACACTGAGAGTTACAAGTTACAACAATCAACGTACGATACATATTACCTTAGCTTCAGGTTTCACCAGAGGTCCCCTGTTTGATGTCTACTGATGACTGTATGGCCACATTGAAGCATCTGTTTGTATAGTTACCTACAACGAAAAAAAGTACACTTAAATAAAATCAAGGGCAAATTCTGGATTAGTACCCTGTAATTTGGGTTTAGTGCCACTTTTCTCTCCGGACTTTCAACGTGATAATTTAGTATCCAAACTTTTAAAACGTGCCAATTTAATAGTTACCGTTAAACAGTCATTAACCAGCAGTTAAGTGGCATTTGAAAAAACAAATACCTTTCGAGTGTCATCTAATTTTCTTTATGAACCATCCAAATGTTGACCGAAAAATGTATAGTCCCAAATCCTTGCCTCTTCTATTCAAAAAAGTTTGGGTCAATTTTCTTGAATAGAAGAGAAAAGGATTTGAGACTGTTCATTTTTTGTCAACGTTTGGATGGTTAATGAAAAAAATAGATGACACTCGAAGGGTATTTGTGTCTTTTCAAAAGCCACTTAACGATTGGTTAACAATAGGTACTGGATTAACACATTTTAAAAGTCCGGGCATTGAATTAGCGCATCTTAAATTCAAGGAACAAAGCGGCACTAGGCCCAAAGTACAGGGTACTAATCAGAATTTTCCCTAAAATCAAATGTGAATGTTAGAGTTAGAAGAGAGAGAGAGAGAGAGAGAGAGAGAGAGAGAGAGAGAGAAGACAGCCAAATGGTGGGTGTGACACCTTGTGTCAGTCGACACCCTAAAAGATATATTTATATTAAAATGTAAAAGGACAAATCTACCATTTATGTACAAGAGAAAGATAGTACAAAGAATAGATACACAACAAAGAAAAGTAAAAGTACAAAAATAACCCTATAGCTAGATTTCACAGTCTCTACACTCCCCCTCAAACCGATGCCTAGGAATAAGCATCAGTTTGTCCATGAGAAATGATGCCGAGCCCATGTCCATGCTTTAGTCAACAAGTCTACTAGTTGGATCCCAGAGGAGACATGAGGAAGAAATATGGCACCCTCAAGAAGGAGTTCGCAGATGAAGTGGCAATCAACTTCTATGTGTTTAGTGCGCTCATGGAAGACAGGGTTGGATGAAATTTTTATTGCATTGATATTGTCTTCATAGAGAGGGACAGACAATGATGGCTCATTTAGTATTTCAAATAGAAGAGCCCGAAGCCATATGATCTCACTACACATGAAAGACATAGCCCTGCATTCAACTTCAGTGGAAGATTTGGGCACAATAGCTTGTTTCTTGCACTTCCATGAGATAAAAGAGTTGCCTAAGAAAACACACCAACCAGTAGTGGACCGTCGAGTGTCAAGTCATCCAGCCCAATCAACATCCACATAGGCCATAAGACGAATAGGGGATGAGGAAGAGAAATTTATCCCATATGATAGTGTGCCTCGCACATATCTAATGATCTGATGAACTACATATAAATGTGGTTATCTTGGAGAAGACATGAACTGGCTTACTATCTGAACTGCATAAGATATGTCTAGCCAAGTCATGGTGAGATAGGTTAAACTACCCACTAGCTGACAATAAAAGTTGGGATCTTCAAAAGGAGAATCATCTTCTTTGCTGAGTTTCAGGTTCAATTCAGGGGAGTATCCACAATCTTAGAATCACTAAGATTT